GGCGGTCAGAGAACCAACGAGCCCACGACTGGCATGGAAAATTGTGCAAGTGCCGATATAATCTCAAAACGGGGTGCATGGAGCCAGATTAGCACTCATCCATTTCCAGCATTCAGGAACTGAAGCTATTTTGTTATTTACTGATTCCATTACTGCACTTTTTGCAAATGCTGAAACCAAGAGATGGCGGCAATGTGTACTGGCTGCTTTGTCTTCTTTTTAGGATGAAGTTTTTGGAGTTTAATGATGAGTAATGATGAAGTTGGTAGGCATAGTGTCACGCTGTACTTCATACCTACCTATCCGATACAAAAACTGAAACATGTGGCCTCATTTTCGAAAATGACTGGAAGCTCGGCTTTGTGCAAAACCTGGTCTCATACTCATGTAATCATCATCAATCAATCAACGCTATAATTCGGCAATTACCAGCTTTTTACAAGCTTCCTAATGCTCCTTGTTCGGTATTTCGAGCCTATGTGCGCGGAAGATTAACTAGCGAATATTAACGCGAACACCGCGACAGTGAGACGCTTTACCCAGGCGTAAACAATTGGATTTGTTATATCTTAATTATTTGCAAACGGCCGTTTATTTAAATGTTTTATTGGAACTTGCAATCTTTCATGAATAATGACTGCTGTTCGGAAATGAATCGGATAAGTCGGTTATTCAGTGCGACTCGATGTGAGTCGGTAACTCGATCTGAGTGAATGTGAGTCGATAACTCAGTTGGGTGAGTCGGTGTGAGTCACCAATAACTCAATGTGACTCGATGTGAGCCGTACTTCCAGCGCTGCTCACGTCTGTTCCGTTCCGTCGCCTCCACCGATAACATAGCGTTTGTCCGTCGGTCAGACAACTAACGAAGTGGTAAATTCGGACGGCGGACTGGTGAGAGAGCGCACCGTTCCTGGACGCTCCACTGCCCAGCGGTCACACGCCGAGCACACGCCAGCACTGGCCGAACGTGCCCGTACTGACGTCATCGGCCAACGACATAGCCGCTGGTGACGTCATCAATCATTGGCTGATCACGATGATGTTACTGATCTATTGCGTCACTAACCGTTACTGATTTGCAACTAGCAGGCTTTGGTGGCGTCACTGGATAGTGGATAGTGAAAAGTCTCAACGACAATCACTGGGTCATCATATGGATCTTGTGGTGTTATTGCCATGATAACTACAAGGACGTACTCCCGTCAAGTAAGTTTTGTGCGGCAATTGTTGGAAACCTGCATTTTTCAAAAAAACGTTGTTGGTGATTGGATGTTTTCTTGATATACATTATACAATGCAGTTGCATTCCGATCATTTAACTGCTTCAAAATATGCCCTCTCATTCCGTGTGTGCCGGGCCATTTGATTCCGAGAGCAATCCCAGCCCTCCCCGTCCATCCGTCCCCCCGCATATCCCTGTCCCTCCGCCTCTCCCTGTCCCTCTGTGCGTCCCCTTCCCCGCGGCCGTCACCGGGCACGGAATGTGGACCCATGTGCTCACCGTCGCGCGGCTGCGGTTTTTGCGGTCGCTCACCTCCCGGGCTCCCCCCCCCCCTGGAGCGTCGCTAAAACGTCCCCACCGACGCGGGGCCGACGTGACGCGACGTTTTTGCACAGAGACATCGTCGCCGCCGACGCTGCGTCCGGTGACGGCGGCGACGGTCAGTAGGGGAGGGAGGTGCGGCGGGGGCTTCAGGGGATAGCAGGAGTTTGAATTCAGCGAATTAATTCTCACCATACAACGCCGTAGGGTTAATGCTAAAATGCCAAAATTATGTACATTAGCAGGTTCCTACAGCGTAATACATCGCACGATTAATTCATGGTATTTCAAATCATGGGACTGTTAAATCTCCAAATCCAGGTGATTCTGATGAAGGCAAGCCGGTACCGTGTCAGGTCACTCACTGGCCCTGTTATGCAGTCAGAGCGTCACATTTCGTAGGCATAACTGTTTTGCCATTAGCTGCGCCAAGTTTCACACATCCAAACATTCACCTACAAATAATTCCTCGACTGAACACGGCTGACTACTCGACTCACCCCGTTGTTGGCTGTTGTACTTGCTACTTGCTACTACTTGACTCACCCCGTTGCAGGCTGTTGGGTCTGTGCGAACAGCTACAGGGCTGACCCGGCGGCCGGTATCGCCCCGTCAGCCCGTGTGTGGCCCGATCTCTATTTATACACTATCTCATATCTCGCGCTGTTGACATTGGCCTGGTGGCTGACCCGACCGTCGGACACGCATTTCTCAGCGGTCGTCCGCGCTCGTCCCATCAGGCTAACGTCCGCTCGGTGCCATTAGGGGCCGTGTCAGGCACCGTTCCGGCGGCCGCGCGACCATTCCGCCGCGGACGCAGACGGATCCGGCCGTCGTGACCGACGCGTCGCCAGCGGCGGGGCGATGCCGGCGGGGCGGGACGGGATGTGACCGGCCGTTTTTGTCCCCGCCGGCCCGTCGCGTCGGCGTCGTCGGCCGGCCGACGCTCGGCAGGGGAGGACGGACATTGCTCCATGTGTCCAGTGTTTCGGTGGCTCGCAGGCGCACCGAAACCAGACACCGTGTCTATTTGTTCGCAACTGTTGTTTGTTTGAGCTGGGCCGGTGTGTGCAAAAAGCGCACCCAGATGCGGCGCCAGTTGTCTGGCCGGGGGGCCGGTGTCCAGGGCGGCGGCCCCGCGCCCTCCCTCCCCTCTCCTCCCCTCCGTGCCCCACCCCGGCTGGAACGGGACGGCTCGGACAGGCCGTGGGAGAGGAGGCTGGACGGACTGGAGGCTGACGACAGACAACTGACGACGGACGACCTGACGACAGGCAACGGACGACAGACGACGGACGACTGACGAACAACTGCTGATGACTAACACCTAGAGAATGTCTTCCAACAATCCAAACTTTCTTGATAGGTGGTAATTGCAAAGTTGGCATTAGCTGAAAAGCGCTTTCTACCACATTGCCGCAACCACCCATTCGTTTGTGATTATGAAATGCTTCTCTATATTCAAATTCATGTCCACAAATCTTACAATGAAATTGAAATGCCCTAAGATTTGTGTTTTAGCTCACGCCGCGTGTGTGTGGCCGTCTGAAGTGTTTGTCAGTTGTTGCACCTCTTCGCTGTGTGTAATTGAGTCGTTAGGGTCGCAGTCCCTCTTCTAGACAGCTCCGTAACGGACGCCGGATCTAATCCGTCCATCAGTCGCTAATGCAGCCCTGAAGCGCTGCTAACCCGCCGACAAACACCCCTCGGCAGCCGCCGCGCAACCCATTGTGCCGCCGCACAAACCTGCTTTGTCCTACTGTTGGCATATGCGTCATAACTCGCGGCAATTGCCCCTGAGTAGCACACATCTGCACTGCATGGAGCTTTGTGAACACGCTCGAATAAATGCACCTAATTGCGGTTTTTGGACTCAGAAAACGGAACGAAAACATCAGTTCGGAAATGGCGAAAATGACGGATCACTGGCTTTTTTACCTGTCTCACCTTGCGGAGAGCGACAAATAAATTGCGCGTCATTCTCGTTTTTGCGCCATTTAAATATCCATCTAACCAGTTTTTACCTTGTGGTTTTTCGCCTGTGTTTGGTCTGGCGATGATTTGGTTTGGCGCATTCTTACCGGCTGTAATTACGTTGTCGGGCGACAAGGAGCGGCGCGCTGCGGCGATTGCGGCGCGATAGTCACAGTCAGACGAGCAGCGGCGCATTTGTCACCGGGCGGCGCGGCGACGTCCGGCCGCTCGCGGTTTCATTTGTCACTGGCAACTGGACGGGTCGCCTGCCCACGACTGGAGCCGGCCTGCCAGCCTTTGTTGGTGGGCGGGCGGTTCATTGCGAGTGCCGCACGGCGGCCCTCACGAAAGGTCGGCGTAAGGAAGGTATATCACATAGGTAACGAGCTCAGTAGGGCGGCATTGCTAGTCAACTGCGAGTCTGGAAGTTTTTTAGTAGAGTTGCAAACAGAGTGTTTGGGAAATCTGTCTCATGTCTTGAACTGAGAGTCTCATGTCAAATACCAGTGGCGAAAACTATTTTACTTAACACGGTTGGGTTCGGTGCAACTGGACATAATCAATTCCAGAAATTAAGTCCCCATTTTCCGTTTGGTTCGTGGCAGCCTTGTGATGACAAGCCTCACCTCAGATTGTCAGAGGTCCATTCCCTTCCCTTCCCCACGATCCGGAAGCACCCTCGGCAACTCCCATCTGTCCAGCTGAGGTGCGCTGCAGACGCTCTCTCCCCAGCCTCGGAGAACGACACTCGTCTCCCGAATCGGCCACATCCTTTCTCCGCGCCACATATGAATAAGCACGCCATTACACGGCGCTCGGGACGGCTGTAAAACCGGACGGGGCTCGGCCGCCACAACGGGTCGCGTTCCCCCGAGCGCAGCGCGCGGCATTGTTTTTAGACCTGGCTCGATCATGCGTCGCTCACTTAGGCGGGGTGGCTGGCGGAACACGACGGGCTGCGGCCGCCAGAACTGCGTTAGTGGCCGGTGGTCGCGGGGGTATGGGGACGTTCGGTCACTTTCACAGCGCGGCAGCACGTCAGAGCTCGGCCGGTGGGGTGACGCACCGAAACAACACGGCTCAAGATGAACGCTATCGCTATCAAACCGAACGCTATTGAAAGGCCCCGTTTCCAGTATGTTCATTTGCTGTGATGCAATAAATATAATTTGCCTGATCAGGACATTTTTAATAGCAACCCATTCAAATTTTATTTGTTGGGTATTATGGGTTCAACAGACGTATTTCTCAGTTCTCACGTTAGCATAACTTGTAGCGTAGCCTAAATCACAAAATCTTCAGTTCTTAAGACATTCCTCAAACCAACAACGCCCCCCCCCCCCAGTAGTAGCAGCATCGATAGCTTTATCTCTCAGTTTACCACTCAGCAGCCAGCGTGAACGGCCAGTCCCCCCTCCCCTAAGGTTAGCAGCCAACCCCATCCCCATCCCTTAGGTCACCACCCCTTCCTCCCTGAGGTCACCACCCTCCCTCTGGCTGGCACCAGCTCACCTGCTGTCAGCGGCTACAGACCCCGCTCCGACCTGTTTACAGGTGAGGCACGCAGACCCGTCGGCTGTGGTTGACGGCTGCGCCGCGAACACTCGCCCATTCCGACAGCCGCCAGCCGCCTGTTCACTCGCACGAAACGCAACTGGAAACGCCAGCGTTTGAATTTATACAAAACAGCCTCAGGGCAGCGCAAATATGTGAATCCTCATAAACCGGATGCTATTTCTGAGCGAGCTTGAAGAAATGAGATGTCGTGAGCGTTTAATGAGCACGTTTTATTTCTGAAATATATTGCAAAACATTTAAAATTAAGTAGCCACGGACGCAGACTTCAAACAAGCAGCCTCAGACGTCACTAAAAACTTTGCACATTAAAAAAGAAGCCCACTAATTTACCACAAATCCACCGTCTAAATTATTCATTTCAATTGAAGACAGACCTACGAGATGTACTCCCACCCACCTTTATCTCAACGTGCAATGAGTGCTTCGGTCAGGAGCGGTCAGCGGACCTTCTGACCGCGGTTCATGACCGAGGGCTCGAAATGACCGCAGGTTATGACCGGGTAATGTGCGCTGTGCAGCAGTCATGTCTCGCTGACTGGGCAGGTAGCAGCGCGTGACCGGTAATACCACCGCTTCCTCCGCGTGACACGCGCCTGGGGAGGTCGAGTATCTGTGACAGTTTAGATAAAAAAGTGCATACGGTTACACTCATCATACCGCTAAATAGCGTTTAATCACTAAGTGTTCCATCCATGACACTGGCATTCTAACCACAACATGCTGTTCCGTTTATTTTGGAATATGAAATTCAAATTTCATCGCATGACAAAAATATATTTAAGTGAAAATTAGTTGCACTGAATTCGGTACCTTTGTAACTTTTTTATCGAATGGACAAGTAAAAAAGCCTTGCCTTCTAAAAATGTCTCGAGTGTGCACATACCGACTGTCCAGGTGCACGCCGAACACATTCGTCACGTTCACTGGGCCTGACCACGTCCTTCCCGACGGTCACGTGACCACCGTCCAGGTGCCGCCGTTCGTGCTCGACTGATCACGTGGTCGCCGCGGGCCAGGTGCAGAGAACACTGCGCACCGCTCCACCGGTCACTGAGACACTCCCGGCTCGTCTGATACCCATTTCATCCTCCGCAGTGACCCAACTGACCCGAGGCGACCGGTCATAGCGATGCGGTCGGCCTTGGAGGTAATGCGGCACAGCCTACCCCGCGCGGCGACTGGATCCGCCGGTGACTACAACGCCGCGCATTGCTAAGGGCCTAACACCAGCCTCCTCAGCGCAACGGCGTAAGATAAAAAGCAGCCGGAAAATCGACAGAAGGTTGGCTTTGTTGACATAAGAGCGGCTCCAGACAGCTCCGGAGACGGCAAGGCACACCCGCTACGAAAGGTGACCATCAGGATGTATGCTATAGACTGGTGGCATCTGATTCCTAAACCGACAGCAAACGTGTCATATCGACACCTTTTTTAAACCCCACATCTGCTCTCCCGTGAATTTCCGGGAGGCACGAAAGATCTCCTTTTAAAAGTGTCCTATCGTCCGATCCTGATCAAATATGTGTGTTCGTAGGCCTGTTCTGGTATTGCTTTATCTGCCAAGACAGACAAACTTGAGAAAAATCGAGTGATTGTACCATTTTTGAAGGTCTCTAACCAACTTGTCTGAAATTCACCGGAGAACAAATGTGGGGTTTAAAAAAAAGTGTCGATATGTTAAGCGAACGATTGAACTATTGCAACGAACTATGGTCACACTGTTGATGCCTTCCGCGACTCAACCGTCAGCACCGATAGATCGAAATGCACACGTCTCAAACTCGCATCGATAGTCAAGTGCACAAAGTCATATAATTGTATTGCCTGGTGTCAAAATGTACCGTCGTGACACTCAAGTATTACAACATTACATACCTAAACGAACGGTGGATATCTTTTATCTAAGTCAACAATGAGCGTCAAGGAAATGGTCAAGATTGGTAAAGTGCTGCGTCTAAGGCCACTAAAAATCACTTATGATCTTTGAAAAGTTCAAAAGTTCTGAAGGTGTCCCAAGAACAAAGAAGCTTACCATACTTTCCTTGAGATAAGGTCTATCTCTTCCCGCATTTTTCATCTCAGCTCTAACATGAGCGCTGAATTTTAAACAGGTCAATAATTGACACTCGCCGCGCCGGCTTTGCCCGTCGGAAGCCGCCTGAGCGAGTGCAGCTGGTTCAATCGCTCCGTCCTATTAATCCCCCAATCTGCGGTAATTATCGCTCGAGGCGCCCAGAGGACAGGCCGGCCGTCTACCGGCGACAGGTCCGGCTCAGAGGCGTCACCTTCACCGGTCGTCGCCGCCGTCATCGTCGCCGCCGCCGGACCATAGATCAATAGGCGCGTGACGACCGGCCCGCCGCTGCGCCACCGCCGCGCCCGCGCCGCCACCGCCGCAGATTAGCCGCCCATCCGCGACGCGCATAAAAAGTGCGCCCATGTGCGTGATGTAGATCTGTGCGTTGGGTAATCCGCGATCTCCGCGCGGCCGCGAGGCTCGGTGGAGCGTTGTAACGGATAGCCGTTGCCGCCCGGCGCGCGCGGTTTGTTTTCGACCGGTGCGCATAAAATACTCTACAATGACGGTAATCTCGCGTGAATACGGCGCGTCTGCGGCGATCGGCGACGCGGCGGCGACATAAGCGGCGCACAGAGGGCCGCCGATCGGCATGCATATGCAAGTGAGATGAGGAGGAGCGTTATCGGCCAGCCGAGACCGACAGCTGGCCCTCCCCAGCGGCCGGCGGCGTTATCATGTGCGTGCGCCCGGCGCGTGTTTTGTGCGTGCGTCGCGTCCGTTATTTGGGGGGGGGGATGGTCCGTATAGTGAGGGAGGGGCACGCTGGTCAGGAACGTTACGGTGTGGTGTCGAGTTCTGTGCAGCTGCTCTCAGAAGGTGTGGTCGTGTCCGATGCGTATGTATGTAGAATAGATGCGCAAAGTTGAAGAAGTGAGCTGTGAGACCCAGTGTCATCATTTTTTGTTTTGAAAATTATATGCCATCCTGAAAGTTACTTGGAAGGACGCACTACTAATGAATATCTAAAGCATTTTCAGCAGCAAGTGCCTAATGATGCAACTGCAAGTAGGCTAATTGCATACGATAGCACACTTTATGTTAAAAATGAAACGTGTTGAATCTAAGTTGGTTCGAGCTGCTTCGACGATTGTCATCCGCTGCTGACGGATGCAGATTGTGATCCTTGGAACCAGTCATGTTAAGACGGATTTGGCGAGTTAGTGGTCTGGCTACGTGAGCACGTTGAGCATTCGCATAAAGGGATTTCCCCGATCGGGTGCAATGCACTTTAATGTTTGCCTAAGTTTTATGCACGACGTCAGCACTCGTGGAGCCAGGAGGGGCAGTTGGGGCAAATACCGGACGCCCAAAATGGGCAAAAGTTCACGTTTTTTTAAGAATAAAAAGAAAACTGAATAACGTTTATGAAGAATGGATTGTTTTCAATAGCGGTGCAGTGCGTAAGAAATCGAAATTCGAGTTTTTTTAATTTAAAGACGTTTTTTGGGGGTCCCAGACTGCCAATTTTTGGATCCGCCAGTGGAAGTCAGTTGCTCATCTCGGGCTAAGTCCTCAACCTAGATTTTTTTGTAGCAGAATGCATTTTGTTCAAGAAACATGGGAACATTTCAATTTTACCATCGCGTCTTAACCTTCCAGGTGGTGGGGGGGGGGGCATTTTTTTGCCCCCCCCCCTTTAGTTTTTTCGATATATCTCGAGAACCGCTGCGCCGATCGTCACCAAACTTTCAGTACCCTCCCGGGAGCAGCTAGCGCATATGGTGACCAAATATTTTTCCAAAGGCTATGATAGGTTGGCCGCTAATGACGTCAGAGTAACGTCATTTTTGCCATTTTCGACCCAAAAAAAGGTTTCGCGGGAAGAGCTGTCAGGCCTACAGCTTTAGAGATACAGAAAATGTTTCAGACATTAAAGGTGTGGAATTAAGAGGGCTACAAAACTGCCATTTCGGTTTTTCGAATTTTTTAGATTTTGACCCCGAAAAATCAAAAAATAGATTTTTTGAATATAATAGCCAAAAAATCCAAACAGTTTTTTGAATTTCGAAAAAACCGGAACATATGTGATAGCCCCTACCGCCTTCTATCTACATACCAAATTTGAGATCGATACCTCTTTTTTTGGCCAAGTTATAGCGAAAAAACTGCTCAAAATTGATGACGTCAAATTTTCAAACTCAATTTTTAGCAATTCTAGACCTCGTAGCGCAAAACAAAGACCACCATTAGACTCCCCGTGACGAGCTGCATCGAATCGATACCCATTTTATGCAAAAATATCAACTTTGAAATTTGACCTTTTTTTGACCTGACCTTGACCTGACCTCCACCAGAAAGTGACCTAAACCGTACCTGATGGTCTTATAACCAACACCATTGAGTTGAAAATGAAAAACTGGCCATAAAACATGCATCGCATAACTTAAGTAAAGCTGGGCTCATTTGGTGACCCTTGGTGACCTTTGGTGACCTGACCTGTGACCTGACCTGGTATGACCAGTGACCTCTAATAGCAACATATGTACTAGACAACTGACGCCTTATCGCTGATTTTCGACAAAATGCGTTTTACTCGGTGTTATAGGGTAGGGTGGTGTTACGAACAAAGCATACATGTAGGTATTGTAGGTAATAGCCGGGTGTTGTTGATATGGTGGCGCCCGAGGCTAACGAGTTCGCGCAGCACGTGTTTTATTTAAGTTCAAAATGTAGGACAAACACGAAAGTATGGTGTGTGTGGTAAAAAATGTAGGAATAGTGTTGAATGTTTTAATTTTGAAGAGGCATATCTTTAAATACAATGCATCGGCCTCAAAAGAGATTTTAAGTTTACAACAGGTGGGGTAATTTGAACATGTGGGGCAATTTGAACATAGTGTGAATAACACAAAATTACGGAAAATCCATAAGTGGCATGACAATAAGACCAATGAGAGAAATTACCGTAACTAAAAGGGCTATCATATGAACGGGGTTTAAAGTTTCAGGGAATGAAGATGTTGACGCACAGTGTAAAAAATCAATTTCGCAAGGAAAAATGCCTAACAACACGTCATTGCAACTTCATTGCAGCGCAAAATCTTGCATTGCTAGCGCCTAATACGCAACGGCTTTTGTTGTATAATGACCTAATCAGTGCCTTCAATCCAAGAAATTTGCTTTTGAACCCTGTTTTTTAAAATGGCAAAATAACTTTTAGCGTGGGGTAATTTGAACATAGTGTGAGAATTTCAATGAAGACAGGGATACCTCCGAAAAAACAACGCTCCCAGTTTTTTTTTTGCCAATATTTTCGAACCAAAGCAGTAGAAGATAAGTGATGCCAGTTTTAGAAAATTTACGTCTAATATCCGTCTAATGTCCGGCATTTTCGCTGATTTTCCGTCCAAAAATGTTAAAGTCAACTATTTGTCCAAATATGTCCGAATATTATGCAGCTATCAACACTCAAAACCGTCATTTATATTGCTTATCATGTAATTTTACCAGCCGAAAAGTGTTCATTATATTGAGAGCTTAACAAGCTTTCCATTCGCCAATCAATGCTATGCACGGTTACTTTATAAAAAGCGCTGAATTGTAGCAAGCCATTAGAGCACTTCACGGATAGGCTTTTCAGGATCCGGCCCGGCCCATATCCGGCAAGTCATATCCAGATCCGCCCATTATCCGTCTTTCTTTGAATTTCCAAATCCGGCCCGCCCATGGCCCGTATCTCAGCCATACCTACATCCAAAAAATATCCATAATCATCCGTTTCATCAAAAACCGGTTGTGAGGACTATCAGCATATCGCCATAAGATTCAAACTTTGGACACTAAGAGGCTATCAAATTGTAATAACAGCAATCTTAGCCACTGCAAAATACATTTTGTGGTATAAGCTGCATTGCTAAGGGTAGGGGTAACACATGGACCTTAGCATTTCATAAGGTTGGCTATCATAATTGTCGAGAATCTACTGTGGTCCATAAAAGGAAGAGTACTCATTCATATAGCAAAACCACAAACAATTAGTAAGTCAAATGGTAGGTAATAGGTATAATACAATTAATAAATAAATGTTCATGACATTGAC